TATATATATAGATATATATATATATATATATACATATATAAAATAATAAAATGTACATATATATACATATGTGTGTGTGTGTATTACCGATAACTAAATGTGATTTATAAAATCTTTTAAATTAATTTATTATAACAAATAATATATAAAACTATTTATGATTTACAGAGAATTCCAAACTGTTCTGTTAAAAATTCACAACCTCTGAAAGAATTTGTTGGTCGCTGCCAAACTATGCCATCACGAGTGAAGAAATCATTTTGCGGATGTCTCCAAGTAAGAGTCTAAGTATGATTCATATAAATAAACAAACAAATACAACCATCGATGAAATAAAGAGAAAAGATACTAGATCATTTATAATCTACTAGATTATGCAAATAATGCTTTGTTGGCGGATAGTAATTTATGATCAATCAAATAAATTAATATTTCAATTTATTTCCAAGCACTAATTTATATAAATAAATGTTAATTCTTAGAATAACATACCCGTTTATTATTCTCATCAAAAATATACATCATTATTGCTTATTAAAATAAATTTGTTTATGTTACATTCTTAATGCAAAAGTTAGCAAAAATCTCATTCTATTAATCATTCTATAAAAAAATTCCACATATAAATTTCCTTAAGTTATTATTATGCATTGCACATCGTGTAAATGTAATATTTTGTGACCAACATTAAATGTTGCAACTTTGAAAATTTCTTTATAATATTAAATAATCACATTTTTATTTTATTTGAAACCTAGGAAAATGCATCACTAGATGGAAATCTTTTTTGTATGCCACATGCTATGTCTTTTAACATCATTGATATTTGTAAAAGTTACACACTATTTATTTTAGTTTTCATATATATTGCAGCTTTCTTGCTCTTGTAATTCTTGTGTATTTATTTTTGTTAAAGTAAAGAAAATCTTGATATAGGTAAACAATATACTTGGCAAATTTAAACTGTTGAAAAATTATTTACTTTTGCTACTTACTTTTTTAGTAATGCTGCACACTAAAACTAATCTTTAAAAAATATCGTGCTACATGAATGGCGTCTTGTAGTTTCAATCACGAACGTGACATGTCCATCTTGCATGAATATTCAAGGTCTTTAACATCTTTAACTACGATGGTTGGCTAAAACAAGAAAATCATTTCCTTTAGAAACATGGCATAATCTGCAAGTGGTCGTCCTTGGTTCGGTCTGTGATTTGCAGATTCCATTATCTCGATCGATCCTCTGCTTGCACTTCATTCACATCACAGGGCGTGTTGGCTATGAATTAAAAATCTATATGTGCAAATACAATTGTATATTTAGTATTAGGAAAAAATGAGTGAATGTGTGAAGAGAGAGAGAGAGAGAGAGAGAGAGAGAGAGAGAAAGAGAGAGAAAGAATTTTATAACTATTTTCGTAGTGGAATCCGTCAAAATATAATCTACAGATAAATTAATTGACTAGACCAACATGATTTCTCGGTGTCATGACGACAACATGCACTTTTTTTCTATACGCCACACAAAGATATATGTGTAAAAAATTATCGGAATAAAAACTTTGGAGAGAGATTTATTCGAATATTTCTCTGTATATGTACATGCGCGTGATCTCTTACCGCGACGATCTTGCAAATGATGTTTGCGAAGAATAAATCGACATCTGATCTTTGGGCGTAAATTTCTTTCACGTGTGAAAGTATCTTAGGAATCCAATCTTTAAGCCGATCCCCTGACCTTTGCTGCCGTTAGTGGACTATAGTACTTGACTACAGTTCTTGACTGGTTAGTAATAAGAAAAAGCGAGAATAAATCGACAATAGTAAAAACAGTACCGATAATAGTAAAGACAGTATCGAAATCAGTATGATTGAGTGTTATATAGGTCAATATATATACATTTACCGACAAAAAAATCGGGCCACTAAATTTTAGCACAAATTTTTAATATTTTTAAATAACGTTAACTTAATAAAGAATCATCGTATTAATGAAGCACAGCTCAAATTAATGCTTGAACATTTCCCTTGAGGACCATGGAAATCAAATTTGAGTTACAAAAAATATTATACAAGATGGCGGACATTGAAGGCGGATATTAAAAAATAATTAAAAATATTTTTTTGTACATCACAAATAAGTTTAAAGACTCAGATGTACAAACAAATCCATATTTTGAATATTCTTCTACGATTTTTTTTGACAAAATTATATTGTTTTAAACAAATTAGTGTTACAAAACGGCAACTTTTTATTGTAAATGTAAATATATTATATAATTTAGAGACAAATCATTGTAGGAAACTTTATCAGAAAAGAAATTAAAGTGTAAATTTCAAATTTTAATTCTTTTTAATTTTGTTTAAATATATGTGTGTATACAGGATGTCCCAACAATTAATTAATATTTCAGAGAAAAAAATATTGAATTAAAAGTTCTTTTGCCAATTTTGGCTCAGATCATATTTATTTATCATTTTTTATTGATTTATTGATTTATTTATTTGTTAATATAAAAAATTAGAATAAAGTTTCAATCAGGATAATGCATAGCAAGCGCGAGGAATTCCATGGCATACTATGCTCCTACATACTCCAGCTGCATGCTATCTGATTGATCAACTTTAATCGTTAATAACTTGGTAAGTAATAGTCTGAGCCAAAATTGACAAAGGAACTTTCAGTTCAAAATTTCATCCTCGTTCATTCCCTGAAACATTAATTAATCGTTATGGAACACCCTGTATATGCATATGTCTATCCTGCTCTCGACGTTACTCAGGATTAACGGTGAACATTGCAGCAATTTGATCCTGTGTGTATGTATGCGTGTGCGTGTGCGTGTGTGTGCGCGTGTGCGTGTGTGTGTGTGCGCGCGCGCGCGCGCGTGTGTGTGTGTGTGTGTGTGTGCGCGTGTGCGCGCGTGTGCGTGTGTGTGCGCGTGTGCGTGTGTGTGCGCGTGTGCGTGTGTGTGCGCGTGTGTGTGTGTGCGTGTGTGTGTGTGTGCGCGCGTGTGTGTGTGTGCGCGCGTGTGTGTGCGTGCGTGCGTGCGTGTGTGTGCGTGTGCGTGTGCGTGTGCGTGTGTGTGTGTGTGTGTGTGTGTGTGTGTGTATGTGTATGTCTTTAGAAATGTGAATTGCTTTCTCTCGCATTTATCAATTCGTATATCATTGGGGCATATACTGTTAATTAA